GTTTGACGCATTCCATGCTGAAGCATTCCACATAATATTAATACTTGAGATATGGCTAATCCTACATTTCCCGCAAATGTATTTCCTAAAAATATGTGAATAGATATTTAATGACATAAGGTTAATTACTTTTCTGATAACAGCATAAATTTATAAATTACCATCATCCAATATGATGAAGCTATAGGTAATAAAAGCAATAAAACAAATAGACACAACATCTAATGCAAATCCAAAAGCAGTACTTGTTGCTATTGTCAAGTAATAAGCACTAGTATGAAGATCTTGGTGAACGTCGAATTCTTTCCGAACCATGTTATGTGCGCAAGCAGAACGAATTGTTGTTAGTCCTAATAAGGAAGAACTAACATGGGAGAAAACAGGACTTTTGGCTAAAATTTTATAGAGAATTGTTAATAATATTACATTAATCATTCTGAATAATATTTATCTAATAAATTACAAAATGCTTACTAGTTCCTTCAAAGCGTTTCATATCTTGCGCAGTTTTAAGATAAATATTTCGTATTTGCCAATATAAGAAACCCATGATAAACATTGGAAATATTGTCCACCAATTAATAATGAAAACTTGAACTAAAATTCCAACCATTACTGTAAATATTTGGATGGATTCTATCATCGTTCTTGGTAAAATTTCATCTACTGATCCAACATCCTTTGAGAAACGATTTAGAATGCGACCTAAAATTTAACATTATAATATTTTTATTTTGTATAATTTTATTTTATATAATTTTAAATACTTACCAGAAGGATGTGTATCAAAAAATAGCATCGGCGCTTTTAATAAACACGAGAACATAAGATTATGAAGATTTTTACTAGCATTCATACATATTTTATAAAATACAATATTTCTTGTGGATGTCAATACAATGCTTGTAAGGATGAATGCTCCATAAATCCACAAAGCAGTGTCACGATGGAGGTAAACTGTATTGGACCTCGCGTTAATAGTCCACGTCTATACATATAAAATAAAAAATAAGATTCGTCGCTATTTCTTAAATGGAAAAGAAGCAAAGTAAAATTACTAACAATATTATCAAAACTTTCATTTTTTAATGGGTACAACTTTGAAATTGTACTATTAAAATCATCCATCTCCAATAAAGTCGTTTCATTCATTGATTTATTTGTATCTCCGTCAGCGAAAAACGGTACTGTGTGGTTTTGTTCCGATAGTTGAACTGTATGATTAATACTATTGCGTTTAATGCGTATTTCTTCTTGTTTTGTCCTAAAAAGAAAAAAGAACAAAACAAAAAAGGAGAGATAATACACAAGATAACTCTTATTAAAAGGAAATAATAATAGATACTAACCAATAAGCAACCCAATAATCGCAACCACTACTTCCAATCTGTCCAAAAATTAAAGACCATACAAAAATCAGAATCATTAAGACAGATCCTCCAGCTCGAAAATATTTCCAATAAAGAGATTTAGAAACATTTCCTTTTGCCATTAATTCCTCAGTTTCTTTCGGTTCTGTTTCATCATCATCTTTACCATTACCATAATTAATAGATAAATCAGGATTAGTATTATCATCAATTTCCATGACTTCCGAATCTCCTTTATTTTCTTCTGTCGAAAGCATATGTAAAAAGTCTGTACGTTTGCTTTGAATTTCTGTAAATGTACCTTCACATTCGATTTTGCCCTAAAATAAACATTACTTTATAACATAACAATGTTATAAAAGTAATATAACATAAAAATAGCATAGTAATATAATAATGACAGTTTTGATTATTACTACTTACATTGTTTAATAGAATAATGTAATCGCAATCTTTCAAATATTGAACCTGATGTGTTACAAGAATTCTTGTTTTATTTCCAAGATAATTTTTGATGCATTCATTGAACAATTGTTTTCCTACGTGAGTATCGACTGCGGATAATGGATCATCCAATAAATAAATATCCGCGTTCCTATATACAGCCCTGTTGTAATGATCATTTGAATTAAAAGTGGTTCTTAAAGTTAATATTTCAACATAATACCGTTTATTTCTTGTCGATATGTACCTAGCTAAATTAATTCTTGCTCGTTGACCACCACTGAGTGCTGCACCTCTATCTCCAACTAAAGTTCTGTCGCCGTAATTAAACTGCTGAAAATCTTTAATGAGAGTACATGCTCTAACAACATCATTATACTTTTCTTTATCATAAGACTGCCCAAAAAGTATATTATTGCGCACTGTACCCGAAAATAACCACGCTTCTTGACTAGCATAAGATACAGTACCATTTACTTTTATTTCTCCATGTGACTGTTGTAGTTCCTTTAAAATTAATTGAAGAAATGAACTCTGAAAATGTACATGAAGATTAGCAGCATTCTGCATTACAAACAATGAAGACATTACTTTTTGAAGATATATATATATATATAACTTATATATATATACCTATATAATTATATATATATATAGGTATATATATATAAGTTATATATATATATATATATATATATATGTATGAGGATATATTACCTTTCCTGCACCAACTGAACCAACAATAGCATAAAGCTTACCAGGTTCTATTTGAACATTGATATCATGTAACGTATTTGCAATTGTGTTTTCTGTCCAAGATGCTGTAATATTTTTCATCATAATACTACCATCTCCATTGGTTTGTTGTAACTGGATTATGTTATTATTTTCTTTCAATAAAAGGAAATTCTAAAAATATGTTATGTTATAAATTACATATATAAAATCCACATAGAACAAAACGATAATAATTATTTCTCTTACTTCAAGTCTCTTAATAGATACATGAGCCTCTGCAGCAGCAGATACAGCCATAGGGTATAATATAGCCATAGTAAGTTGGAGGATATTGAAATATTGTGCCATCGAAAATACTTTATCGGCAGATATAGTGTTGCCGAGAAGTACATATGCCATAATTGTAAAGTATAATGTTGTACGTTCGGTGAACACAAAAGTAGCTAAGGTAAAACCTCGTAAGTACGATGCAACTGTTAGTACGTCTATCTCCTGACTAAAAAGTAATTATACATTTTAAACACATTTAATAATTTATAATACTTGTATAACAATAATAATAACATAACAAAACACTGAAGAAAACCTTCTAACAAAGCTAACAAGTTTTTCAAATGGTTGTTCCCAAGTATACATTTTAATAACTTGAATTCCACCAATTATTTCTGACATTAATCTTACTCTTTCGTCAGTCCTAACTGCGATTTTTAATCTTAATTTTGATACCCATTTTCCTAGATATCCTACAATAAAACCACGTTAGTTAGTTTCTTCTTTTATAATTTAAAAGGCTATTACACAAACAAAATTGTAATAATGATACATGATGACATATGTACATACCTTGAACAGGTACAGTTTGCATAGTTATAAGAAAAACACCAGCTAAAGATGCGATTCCTACACTTTCCCATATCATAAAAGTAATCAGAGCACCTTGAATGGGTAAGATCCAAATATAATGCAATGCTATAAATAATTGTTCAAATCTTGCTACATCATTTGACATTATGTTTATAATTTGTCCAGGAGTAGTAACATTAGTAGAAGATCTTGACAAACGCAAAATCTAAAAGCAATGGTATTTTAAGTAACAATAGTTGATAAATATAAATTTATGGATAATAATTTGTTTTCACCTTTCTATACATTAGAGAGGAACATGCTATTCTCACTCTCATTCCAACTTCCATTAAACCTAACATAGAATGATGAGTAATTAAAGCTCCACATAAGACTATAAGTATAACAGCTGAAGCATAAATGTATGCTTCATTAGCTGTGGATGTTGCTCTAGGATCAAAGTGCCAGATAAGAAGACCTAGCACATATGGTTGAATAACCCTAGAATTCCATAGTGATTAAAAATTATACAATAATAGTAAATAATATATATTATAATGATAAAAATTATGCAATAAGAAACTTCTCGCTCTTACCTTAAAACAACTGCTAAGAAAAACTGCCATCCTCCATAGTGAGCAAATGACCACATAAATGTTTTTCTTAAAGCATTAAAAAATTTAGGTTTTCTATTTGCTCCTTCTGCGGACTTAACTTCTTTAATCCAGTTCCTAAACAAGAATGGAGACAATACAAACATAGTTCATGATATGAATTTTATCAGTTCCAAAATATTAGTATTATCCTTATGTACATATGCTTATTACCTCTCGAGTTTATCTCCAAGATGTTGACTAACATCATTTGGCATGACATTATAGATATCTTTAATCTCAAGATCATGATCCTTAGCATACCAGAATAGGGGTTTCAGCCACCTTAAATATAATAATAAATATTTTTATATAACAATAGCTCTATTTTAAAAAAATTATTATAATTAACATAGAAAACTTACCAAAAGATCAGTTTACTAAAAACATTCGCCGTTAATTTTGGATTGGGATTGTCATACTTCTTGCTAGAATCCATGATCGATCGTTTTACACATAGTACAGCTATTTCTACAAGAATAAACCATGCCGCACAAAAGAATTTGAATAGTCACTCTAAAAAGCATTAGGTACATTTACGTTAATTCAACAGTAATTCTTCGCGTCATCATTAAGGAGTCACGAGTAACAATTCCGTTTCTCTCAACTAATTGCTAGGAGTTTTCTGTTACGAGATAGTAAGGAACCTATTAAGAAATGATTCAACAAATCATGACACGTGCACAACACGCGCACGATCGATTGAACGTATGTAATTACATAAGGCTCTCGAGATCACAAACTATTGCACAGTAATGCATAGTATTCGTGGGAAGATAGGATGTGATGAAAATGTCAAGGGCATTAACTTATCCCAAACATTAACAGGTTATTTTTAACTATCTATTTCTAGAAATTGTACTAATGAAAGGGAAGGAAGAATTACATCCTTCCTTTTTTATTCGCAGCGTGCAATGGATCATATATAATATGAGAACAAGGTGAATTGCGTTAAAAAATATATTTACAAGCACTGATCATGTATTCAATTAAAAATTGCAATGAGTAATGTTTTATGGAGATAAGGAACTAAGATAAATAAAAGCAATAAATGAAAAAACTTATGAAACTTCTGTAACTATGTAGATAAGCTTATCGTGTAATATTATGTGATCTAATATAATCTAACATGAACATAATGTAATGAACATATGTTTGTCATTTTATCAAGGTTTTCGTGTTTTATTCGATGAAAATATCAATAAAATAATATATATGATGACTTTCAATATATATGATGACTTTCAACTTTCCTTTTTTTTGTTATTTTTATTACACAATTTCGTTGTCCGGACAACTGAAGTAAATTGTCACAGGATTTTTCTTGGGTAGCGGATGACTGACTTCCAAAATTTCTTGTAATTAAGAAAAATCTTTAATTCTTTTTCGGTTCGACAATCCAAGAAAATTTCAAATAATATTTCAAGATATACGTGTTATTCTAAAGTAATCAAAATGGTATGACGTAAATGAAATTCATAATACTCTATTACACAAGCAATATATCTCTTTTTAACAATGTTCAGTACAATGTAAAATGAATTACATATGTTTATTCTCAAGTTACAAACGATGTAGAGCATTTTTTTTATTGCAGAAGACTATTTTTATTTAATTGTTAATCGTTAACGGAAGTTATAAATTTTGCTTCAGCGTGAGTGTATTTCAATGCACGTGGGACAAGCAGGTGTTCAAATGGGTAATGCGTGTTGGGAATTGTATTGTTTGGAACATGGAATTCAACCGGATGGAACGATACCATCAGACAAAGTGTCCGGAACAAACGATTGTTTTAATACCTTTTTCAATGAAACCAGTTCTGGCAAGATGGTACCGCGTGCTGTGATGGTTGATTTAGAGCCTACGGTTGTTGGTTAGTTTAATTTCCATAAAAAGAAAATTTTAACTGTATAAATCGTAAAATCTTTTGAAGCTCTATGGAAGGCTGATATAACGAGTGATGTTAAAAATACGAATATTTCAAAATTTCCTATAGACGAAGTAAGGATAGGACCTTACAAGCAATTATATCACCCTGAACAATTAATCACGGGTAAAGAAGATGCTGCAAACAATTATGCTCGTGGTCATTATTCCATCGGTAGGGAAGTAATAGACTCTGTAATGGATCGAGTGAGAAGGTTGACGGATCAATGTACTGGACTTCAAGGATTCTTCGTCTTCCACTCGTTTGGAGGAGGCACCGGGTCGGGATTCACTTCGTTGCTTATGCAAAAACTGTCCGATGATTATGGGAAAAAGAGCAAATTAGAATTTGCCGTATATCCAGCACCACAAGTATGCAAAGCCAAAAAGAAAGAAATTGATAGATATTTTTTTCGCGTTTGTTTTATCTATAATTACCTTGTATATACGATGGGAAGTTGGGTAACACAGTATCCTTACGTAAAGAAAAATAATGTGTAGGTATCTACCGCCGTCGTAGAACCATACAACTCGATTCTGACAACTCACACCACAATCGGTCATTCGGATTGCGCGTTTATGGTGGATAACGAAGCAATTTATGATATATGTAGACGGAAGCTTGGTATCGAGCGGCCTTCATACGCGAATCTGAATCGCCTTATCAGCCAAGTGGTATCATCGATAACTGCCTCTTTGAGATTCGATGGTGCTCTGAACGTAGATTTAACGGAATTTCAAACGAACTTAGTACCATATCCTAGGATTCATTTCCCACTGGCGACTTATGCGCCGGTGGTTTCGGCTGATAAAGCTTTCCACGAAGGGATGTCTGTAGCAGAAATAACGTCCGAATGCTTCGAGGCATCCAATCAAATGGTCAAATGCGATCCTCGAGAAGGAAAATATATGGCCTGCTGCCTACTTTATCGCGGAGAGGTGGTACCAAAGGATGTGAACGCGGCAATTGCGGCTATGAAGAGGAAGAGTTGTATACGTTTCGTTGATTGGTGTCCAACTGGTTTTAAGGTCGGCATCAATTATCAACCACCTACTGTTGTTCCGGGTGGAGACCTCGCCAAGGTATCAATTATTACATAAATATGTCTGTCATTATCAGTAATAATTAAAGAGTAAATTTAATGTTTCACGATATTGTTTCCATACGCTATAATTAAAGGATTAAACATACTATAGTTGAAGCACTAATTCAGTTATTTGAACATATTTTGAGACAATTTATATATTATTTTTAAAATGCAATTACAAAGTTAAATATGATATAGGTTCAAAGGGCGGTTTCAATGTTGTCGAACACAACAGCTATAGAGGAAGCCTGGTCTAAATTAAATTACAAGTTCGATCTTATGTATCACAAGCGAGCATTCGTTCATTGGTACGTCGGAGAAGGTATGGAGGAAGGTGAGTTTGCAGAAGCGCGTGATGATCTCGCCGCATTAGAGAGAGACTACGAAGAAGTCGCACTCGAATCGTCAACCACACCAGATGCTTCGTTGGAATATTAATATAATGCACGTAATCCGTGCAAGTATTTCGGCATTTTTCAGCTACCCAACAAAAGGACTTATGCATGATCAAATTAATTGTATGTACAAAGAGACTGGTGTTTTATATTACGCTTCTTATGTCTTGTGATTTGTTTATTTATTTTCATCTTTTTAATAAAATTATTTTTTTATAACATTTATTAAAAAAACATATTAACAAAATAAACAAAAATATATTTCCCCCAGTTAGCTTTGAAGTTTTGGGTGATGTATTATTAAGTTAAAAATAAATTTCTATGTGCTAGAAACAGTACTTTTACCTGAAAAAATAAAACTCGTAAATTATAACGTACTTACTGTTTTCGTAAATAGTAGAAGTGGAATTTATTCAAGATTCCAAGTCAGTATAATTATTGCACTAACAATAAGTACGCGGGTATAGTGATTTGTCACTTTCGCAAATAAAGATATTTAAATTATCTGAAGACAATATCGTCGTGTTATTACTTGTAAAGAATATATCTTATATATACAACATTCATAAGTAAATGTAGTAACTTTACCGGATATAATTAACGAAAATAACTTTTTTTAGTGATAATGTACTATATCACAAAAAAACTTTCGTGACGTCTTATCATTATTATATTTATATTTCTCTTAATGCTAAAGTAATCTCTATTTATTTATGTTTGTTTATCTTACAGGAAATTTTAATTACAATTTTGATTTTTACAAAAGAGATAAAAAATTGTAATTGATTAATGAAGGATGAAAAAGATATATATTAGAATAAATTGCTATGTAAAATACAGTTTTATAGTTACGGTTAAAATGAATTTAACAATGATATTGACTATTAACCAAATATCTTCCTGAACCTTTATACGAGCAATTTATGCATAGATTCTTATATAACTTAATACCTAAATCTCAAATAATAAAACTATCTGATAAAAATAGACTCCTTAACTTAATTATTACACCAAAAGTGTTGGAATAGGTTTCTTCCCAGGCCAAGCTTCTTTGGCATATTTTTTCTTTTTTGGTTCCATCGTTCGTGTATCAGTAGGTCCTGGTATTTCTGGTACATGTGGTGTTTCTGTTTGTATTTGATTGGGTGTCATCTCTACCTCAGGAGCTGGATTTGGTAATGCAATACCAAGTCGAGATGATAATGAAGATAGTGCACTAGAAAATGGATTAAGAGACAACGACGATGGAGTAAACTGTTCTGGTGGCAAATCTTGATAGAGTTGAGGTGTAGTTGTTGTAGGTTGAAGATGCTTTAAAGGATTGTGATCCTCTGATAAGGATATTAAACCTCCTTCCATACGCATTCTCTAAAATATCAATGAATAATAAATTTATAAAACATATATAAATATATATATAATGTTGATTTGGAATAACCCTTACTTTACTGGGAACAACTGTCGTTTGTACAAGATTACGAAATCTTCCGACTGATGGATCAACGTCTTCTGGATTTATTACTTCTTCATCATCATTGAACGTAATTCCTTTTTTCTTTCGTTTTCTTGTTGGTTTATGAATTTCATCGTCTGTTATTCCTAGCATAGATATACGTCTATTATGTGCAGTGTTAAATTCCGTTAAATTCTGTAATTAACAATATAGTTATTAAACTATATCTTAATAATATAATTTAAATATAAATGTTACTTGAGGCATACATCAAGTTCTGTTTCTGTTTCAGGTAAACCTAATAAACCACCAGCATCTGTATCTTCTGATAGTTTCTCTAATTCCTCTATAATTGGTCTTGTGCCAGTTTGAGGTCTTTCTCTAATAATATAATACCGTGTAGAAGCTCCAAAATGAAATGTACTATCAATTGGTAATTGTGTGGGTTTATGTTGTTCCAAACGAAGATTACCAATAAAAGTTCCATGTGCTGAGAAATCAGTCAAAATTTATAATATTTATAACTTAAATCTTAATGTTTTGTTCAAAAACAAAGAGTTTCATATTTATTTAAATCATTAAAAATGTTCATTTCATATTGCTTAATTAGATTCTGTTTCTTATAATTAAAAATCAATGTGTATAATAAAATATAACATGTTAGTTATGAATTAAAATGTTATAAATTAAAAATAATGATATAATACTTACTGCTACCCAAATCAACAAGAAATGCACGATTTAAATGTTTGTGATAAACAAGAGCAGCATGAACACGAGAACAAGAAGCGTGATCTATACAAAAGTCATTTAATTGTTGATTACGGCCAAATAAGTAACATTTCTTCTCATCAACCATTAATTTCTGAAACAAAATAATATTTCTGATATATCTCTAAAAAAGACCTAAATCTTTAGGCGTAATATATAATTCCCTTACTTGAATTAATTTGTCATTCTTCAGTACATCTAAATGTAATCCAACTGGTGGCTTCCCAGCCCTGAAAAGCATAATCTATGTGTAAGGTAATATTTTTTATGCTATAAATATACTATAATATTAGATAGTAATATTGTATCTAAAATGGTTAAGTAACTATTTGGAACAGTCTGATAAAAATTTTCCAAACGTACCAATTGGGTACTTCGTAATGATTAGCCATCACCACTTTGAAATAATTTGCTTTGTTATTAAATGGACATGAAATTAACCGGGCAGAAAAACACATTCGATGTCAGCGATAGCAGAACGTCATATTAAAAAAACCTTAATGAAATTTTATGATAATTCTTCATAACTGCTTCCGTTTCCATTCCATATATTATGGATATTTCTTAAAAGAATATAAATAGTAGGCACATACATATACGCACCCTGAAAGAAAGTTATTTTTTATCAACTTTAACATAAGGTATTATTTTGATGCCATATACATATAGGCATATATATCATTCAAAGACGTAATTAAGTAACTTAGTGCCCCGGGTATATCAATGAAAATTTTAAAGAAATTTTGATGTACACTTTAACATATGTTCGTGTCATAATAACTAATTCTATCTGTTTTATTTCATATTTAAAACAATAAAATTGTAATACAAAGCAGAGAAAATGATAAGAAAATACATTTTTTATTTTGATACTATCCTAATATTCTTTTGCATACATACGAGTAGTGTTCTCATTTTGGATTCTCAGATTTATAAATCATATATTTTTTTGTTGAAAATATTTTAAAGGAAATTAAGCAATATACTATTGATTAGAATGATAAGAAAAACGAAATGGTAAAAAATATGTACTTTTTAATTTTTTAATATATTTTTAAAATAAATCTAGCTGAATAGTAACAAAAATTATTATAGTGATATTGTGGTGGTATTCATTAGAAGAAGATGAATCAAGTAAGAATCAATGATGACATTTTGAATAACTAAATCAGAATCTTAATACTTTAGATTTTAGTAGAATAGTAAAATTTGAAGATACAATAAACATTATTTAGTCTAGAAATGAAAATTCAAATTCTTTAATCATAGCAGCACATAAGATAGAAGCGGTCTAAAGAAGTTGGCAGAAGCTGACTGACATAAGTGGCCGAATAATTTTATAGTTAGTAAAGCAACGTATGTGCCAGTGTGATTGAGAATTTATGTCGTTTGAACTGCTTGTAACGAAATTCAAATATATAATTGACAAGCTAAACAGTTGAACAAGAGATAAAAGATATCCTGTTACAATAAATGAACTGTATGAAACTAGATGTAATAATCTTCCACGGCTGAAATGTCGTATAAAGTCGGACAGCGTGTCGAAGTTCCTGGCAAAGACTGTCAAGGAATAATTGCTTATATTGGTCATCCAAGTTTCGCTTCAGGAAAATGGATTGGAGTCATACTTGATGAACCAAAAGGAAAGAACAATGGAACTATCAAAGGGCAATGTTATTTTAAAGTAGGTTATTTTATATTTGTCTGTATATATAAAATATAGCAATCACATAATTACATTGTACACATTTTTATTGTACTAGTGTGCTGAAAATCATGGAATGTTTGTACGGCAGTCACAACTTATTTTGTTGGATGAAGCAGGCAATAGAACTGAACCTGCTAGTCCATCTTCAGCAGGTAGTAGTGCTACTACACCAGACGAGACCAGTGCGGCACGTGCTAGAAGTCGATTGAATAGGTAATGTGGTTTTTTTACCTTAAATTTTTTCAGATGTCGCATTTCTTTTTTTTTATTGAGATAATGTTGCGTATTACATGTTACAATGCCATTAACTCATCATAATTTTTATGCTAGCATAAGTACACGTCGAAGGAATGAACCTACTGCGTAAGTTATTACATTGAATGATAAATCATAATTTTTAATATATAGGATATAAATTGGTAGATCTTATTGTACAATTTTTGATATAAGAAATAATAAAAAATAGGTACTTTGAGACAAGTATAATTAATAAATTCTTAAAATTCATATGCTGGTCATAAAAGAGTACGGAGAAAAACTTCTCCTGCCCATACTAGGCAGCAATCTGAGAAACTATCTGGGTAAGAATTTATAAAGATTGATCCCTGAAAAATTTGCCTTAATATCTTCCTTAAATGCTTTTATATATATAAGCAGCTAAGAATTATATCTGTTATTCCCTTTTTATACATTTGTAAGGTTTTCTCATTATAGCAAATGTATGTAGGATATAAATAAGAATATGAATAAAAAATTGCAATTGATATATAATTTTTTACTTTTGGAAAAATATTATAGCACTTTACATATCAATAAAGTTTATTAAAGTTTATAAAAGTCAAATTTTAAAACTATGCTATCAAATAATTTAATGTATTTGTAATTGATGATGTGCATCTAAATTGTGTTGTAATTGCAAGGGAATATAGCTTTAATATCGTAAATATTGTCAGAACTTAAATTACATTTACTAAAGAGATACTAACATTGTGTTTTTTACAGTTCAAGACTTTCATTGGCTGGTAGTAGGACACTTTTAAGTGCTCCAAGTACAGAAAGTTTGTCTGGATCACAGCATGAACGTAAAGATGGAGGAGAATCACTTATACCAGTTCCAACATCTAAAGGAGCTTCATTCATCGAGGTATTGTTTGTTGTTCTGGTCATGCTTTTATTATTTCTATATAGTTAATTTTAATAAGTTGATATATCAGTTATTTATGTGAACACAGTGAATGAATTATTCTGAGGATTCAACAAGGCATGAATACATGAGATGAAGTTTTCCA